GGAAAAGCCACATGATTCGAACAACCGATGGCAGCAAAAGAATAATAGTGTTAACTTATTACAATATCGCGTGACAATCGAGAGACAACAAAGAATGTAGGTATTTCGACTAGTCGTACTACAAATATTAAAGCTAGTAGAAGGAACTAACTTAGTAAGCAAAATGTGTTAATAGATTCCATTAATCTGCCCTACATTATTGATTTTTATTCTTATGCTTGTATTTGGCCAGCATAAAAGACTATTCAAAATGTGGATGATTATAATCGGATAGTATACGTTTGTCACAAACAGCCGATAGGATATAACTTAGTAAAAACTATCATTGGAAATTATTGTCCAGACACTTCAACACGTCTATTAAATATCGGACAGACGATGTAAAGCGCTAATTTTTCTTTGTAATTTTTAACACCAAGCACGATTAACGCATTGGTTATTAAACTTTGGTCTGCGAATACAGAATAAAACAGCCTCTGTTAAGAACACTACCGGCATGTTACTGTTTCGAAAGAGATACGCCTTACCTGATCCTGATATGGTAATATTAGACGTGCCCACTCACAGCTACTTAAACCGTATTGATATAATGCAGTCAATTTTACACGTATCAGACTAGCATTGACAACCGTCACGAGTGAAAGCGTTTTTGTTCGATAAATTATCTTTCTCAATTATGAGCGTTATGTGCAAATACACATATTGTAACTGTCTCATTCTACTATTCAAATGAAGATGTAGGATTCACTGACGTTTCAAGTCAATACTCAAAATAATAATTGCACGAGTATGCAGGATTTAATTTCTACATGGACTTCATTATTAATTTATTATGCTTAAATGTGCCCCTTAGAATAAGCAACTCTCCCCTTTTCACAGTGAAGAGTACTTGATAGGATCGTCAACTTTGATTAGCGAACGATACGTAGAGTATAATTCAATCACGTCGGTAAATATTTGTTTTATGCTTTTCTGCAATCTTATAAGTCATAACGTACAAAAAATTTCATAACAACTCTGGAGTATAATAATAACACGTGCTGTGTTCACTATTATGAATTTGATAACAGAAATTGTACGTGCATACTGTATGTGCATATTTACGAGTGAATGAAATTGGTATACGTAAATACATTATTAGCGGTCAATCATGGTTCTTGCTAAGAACTATTGCAAAGATCGATTGTATTTGAAATTATCTGTATTCTTACGTAATAGTAATGAACTACGCGTTATATGGGATATCTTTTCACCCTTATCTTTATCCATCTCATAATACAATCAACAGTAGATGCAACGAATACGCCTTCGGGCAATTGCTTCTTCTTTGTCAACAACAGGGATTAAATTGTCCAAGGAAACAAAGCTCTAAAATGTACAGTCAAATCCCGTTATACGGTAGCAATTATTTTAATAGCTAAGGCTCGCTTATAACAAGTTTTATAACAATCTCATGATTTAGTTAAGACAATAAATGACTAGGCTGTAGCAGACGGCGATTTTTTTTACAGAAGGGTCGAAAAAGCCTGTTGGTAGTAATATAAAAGCATCCCCAACGTCAAGCTGCTATTCAGGACATTCTATCGGCCGATACTCTCCGTTAACTGCCACAGAGTGTTATATTGATGAAAGTATCTCTTTACTAAAAATACTAATAGTTAACATGTCACACAACAATCATAATGCAATTTAGGTTGTCTGTCCAACGAAAAAGTTTTCTGGTGCATTGTCATACGATGCCCCTATATATATATATATGGGGCTCTTCCGGAATAGGGTTCAGTTACTAATACTTAGTAATTTATTATGACAGGGTAATTATAATCAAGAGGACTTTGAACAAGTTGCGTTATCGAACATTACGATCTGCATGTTTCTAAAAAGAGTTGACACTGCCACGGATCAATATACTGGTCTGTTCAATTTAGTGCGTCATACATCAAGGGGTTGATTTCTTATCACCATACTAATCATTACCAAAAGCGTCCTCAATGCCTGCTAATTGATTTGTACCCCTATTTTTGTGACACAACAGCGGAATAGAGACAAACAATATTGATATCAGATAACTTTTATTTAGTCCATGCAAGTGTAAAACAGAACATACCAAAAAAATATATATAATATATACAGACAAAAGAAGAGAAATGCTTTTTACATTACAAACTAGGGGTGTGTTGTGTGGCCGCCCAATTTCATCGGTCGGCTTTTAGCAATTATATTGCTACCTTGTTATTGTTAAGTTATTGTTTAGTGAGCATTTATTCATAATTACTGTATTGGTTAACTATGTCTATTGTTATACTATTATAATGTATAGTTTTATCAAAAAATTTTTATTTAACTGTAAATTGCTAGACTATAGGAAGAGTTTGAGATGCTATTCTTTCCAACCTTTCATATTCATTTATCACTTCAGGATCTGTTATAAAAGCATCACGATGAAGACTGTTAATACAAACTTTGTCCCATGTTGGACACATACTTATTGCAACATATGTTTGTCCAGGAGAAAATATTTGAGAATCAAGAGCTAGTGATACATGTGGGAGTGTAATGCCTTGTGTTTTCTCTCTTTCGTTTGATTATCTCGCGAGCAATATTGTCAACTTTTACTGACGCCCCTTCTTTTTTTTGCTTTTCGCTCTTGGCATTAGTCGATGTTAGCGGTTGTTTCTGTATTGCTTTGTGAACTGTTACTATTCTGTTCTCCACCGAGCTTTTCTTCTTATCCTTGTTATCTTTGTTTGTTACTGACCACGGTACACTTGATGACTCTGACTTTTGGGTTTACGAATTGCATTTCTATTACGTCACAGTATAACTTATTTTCGATACCAAACAATTCTGCAGTGCATTGGATTGTGGATGACTTCTTCGCGGCGGTAAAAGTATTTTTTAGACGGCCTTCTAAAGGATGTGTCAACACTTCATCGACTGGTCCACACATTTCTGCTGCTAAGTACGGTTTTATTTCCATCGTCATATGATAACCAGAGTCTGTTACATTGCATGCGTCTTAAACCCGGCCCAGCAGGTAAACGATCGGTTTGCAGACCGGAATTTTTTCTTTATCAATGGGTAAACTCTTACACGACGAGTCTAATAAGCCGTTATCTAGTATCGTAAACTTCCCCGTAATAAAATACACAGAGTCTTGGTTGAATTTGTGAACATACAAGTTTTCAATATCTTTATCATCCAATTCAGTGCTATCTAAGGGCCATGATGTGTATCGGAAAGTAAGGAAGTCTCCATCAGTATCAATCTTACAGGCGGCGGACCCTGTTTGCAGTATTTTATTAGAGAAATGTTGTTCGCAGGTTGAAATGTTTGCTATCATGATGAATTAACTGAGAAGTCCTACAAAAAGGGGTACTATTTATATCACAACTATCATTAGACCAATATAATTGAAGTAAAATCGCTAGTCTTAAATAATTTGTGCTAAAATATATTATACGAAGTAAAGTAAATGTCTAACTATCACAATTTTCTAAAATGGTTTGCAATAAGTTTATCATTAGCATGTAATTAATTTAAGGCGACTAATCATTGCCTATTGCACTACCCCAAACTCGGAATAAAATATGGTTTATGTCTAGAAGCAATCTCAAACAATTGAGTACAGTCTTAAACAATTATAGTGCGATATGAAAGTAAACTCTTTCTTGATTTATGTACTACATCTTAATAATTGTAGTGCGATACAAAAGTAAACTCTTTCTCAAAGGGGTAAAGAACAATCAGTTTATGTACTACCCAACCCGTGGCAACTAATATTTATGCATGATGGATTTCCTAAAATGAGTTCATATACAGTATATACACACTGGTCAGCACTAATGACAGCCTATACACTATCCCCAGCCCGAATAAGATTTCAAAAAACAGTAATAAATATCTAATATCATGCATCAAACCAATTAACATCTCAATAATATGATGGAACGTCTTTCGTACGTCTCAATACTAGAAACATAATTTATCATCTATACACGTTATTACACACTCCGGTGTTCCGATAATTTATTTATAATTTTAATATTCGGAGAAAATTTATGGAGTAATTTGAAAATTAAATTTATTATTGGTCGCAGATTCTCTCCATCATCATGTGCTTAACTTCATATCGCAGATCGTGATAGCACGACCAGATTTATTTTCGAACGCTATAGTGATAGTTACTATAATTTGATTCCTGTTAAACTGTCTTATTGGGATAATCCATCTCTATAACAGTTTGCTGCGTAATAACTATTGTCTCTTTTACCACTTGCGAAAAATTTAACTATCTGTTTAACAGCAAAGCAGAGAATTGTATAGTGGGACTGTTCAAAAAATATGGAATACGCAGTATAACAGACGCAACGGTTTTAACCCTTTTCTTCGTTAAATTAAATCAAGAATCGCTTGGTCGAGTTTTCAAATACACAGTATATAGGATATTAAATAAAAACTGTGCAGATTGCTCCGTACCATAAGATAGGCGGTATGGCAATATTGAAGTAGAATTCAGGCCTTTTACAGAATTTTATTGCAGATCGAAAGAAATTCTTCGGTTACAAACTTTCCTGTATATCAAAATGATTTAAAAGCGGTCAGGTAGTATGGCGACGCATGCAACATAGAGTCTTGAGAATGCGATTTTCGTTCCCAAGCGTAAATTATAGGTATTGCGTTGCTCATTTCATAACATATAATAACAGTTAATAGTAATAGTTAATAATAATAGTAGTAGTAGTAGTTAATAATAATAATAATAATAGTAATAGTAATAATTATATAAGAATGACCCCCACTTTTCGGATGATCTTTAACTATTTACAGTGGTTTTTTTAGCGATCTTTAACTATTTACAGTAAGATAGGCATCCAAATAAAGATCAAAATCGTCCATAAAAGATCAAGCAGTCCTGGAAAAGAAATTAAGCATTACACGTGGATCGATTCATTCTTATATTAATATATTAATGTTAATTAAATAAGAATTAAATATTATCATTGAAGTGTGACATCTATTTGTGCGTTGGCCCTAAGATCAGAAGCAAGTAAGTGTTAGAAAGTAGTTGATAAGATGCAAAACTAATACCAAGACACTTTTCGTATGTACCCATTGCTGATTCCTCCGGAAATACGGTACGCAAATGGATGCATAGGAATAGCGGTTGCTCCAACATATTGTCTGTTTTGTCGCGTGTGTAGCTGTCTATACAACTGTTCAAGCGGTGTATTCAAATTATTGAGCACATGGCATGTTACTGAATTTCTCCCACGTTTCAGCCAGCCTTTGACCTGTTATTTAGAACATTGACGTTAGATACGTGAGAATTGTCTTATCTAAGAGTGCAAATCTTCTATTTGTATATGTATAATACGTACGACCCATGTGATTACGAGATAATAAGGTACTTGCGTCACGTTTTGGATCTCGTAAACGATAACACCTTTTATAGCCAAAATGCCCCGAAACGCACTTTGGGTAATATAATGCGGCTGTAAGTAACAGAAAATTTTTTTCTTGTGATATCATAGACTTCTGCTATTAAGATAGAATTACTTACATCGCCCTCGTGTTTTGAGGCCCTACATTCACTGCAACATTTCTTTGGCTTCCTGTTGTAAACGTTTGAGGGTTTTCGAGCCTCACACTGACATGTTTGTTGTCAATTGTTACATTGGCCCGAATACGTAGCATGTTTCTGATGAGGTTGCAGACCTCGGCAGGTCTGACGTTAATTGGTAATGCCATCTATTGAGCTTTGATTGAAAAGGAGAGTAAATTTGATTGATGACTTACAGAACCAGTCCGCAAGTCTGAGAATAAAAATTTAAAAGATGAAGATGAAGATGAAGAGACAAAAAACCACCTTCAAGCTGATTATTTATAAGACTTTGCTATCATATGACTTATACGTATTGCAATCACCTCATCCATAACAGCGTATGATATTTTAGGTAAAAACTTGATTTTTCCTACTTCGGTACTTATTTCAATGGGGGGTCACAAGTGCATTAATGCCTTGGCAATGTTCACGTACCTTTCCCCCAAGCCATTTGAAACGTGGCGTAGGAAGGAGAACTCCTTCATTGTAGATTAAATGCTGCGCAAAACATTTTTATTCGTTTCCGTACGGACGTTATTTCCATATTTTTTTAGTACCAAAAGATTAAATAGAATTATAATAAAAAATTTATATAGAAATGATGAATGCGTTTGTAATTAAATGAAACAATAAAGTAATAAGTACTTTGATAATGGCGGCACAGGACTAACATACCATTGCATTGGCAATACACCGAATAGAATTCTTATTTTGTAAATATATTCATTATTCTATTATCGCTTTCCATATCGATACATTGTAGATGATTGTACCATTGAAATGCATTTTGTAAGTCCGCAGTATTATGTATTACTACCAATAGAGTTTTGACTATCGAATATGTACTAGCGTATCGGCTATCTTAATGTGTTGCATTAATATTTGTATGTATACTATGAATTTGTATACAGATTCGAACAAGTTTTCAAACACATTTATGATAAGTTGGCTTCGATATCGCATTATCCACGCCTTTAATACATAGTAAAGTTGTCCCAACATCTTTTGTTTCATACCATCGAAGAAGTTGTTCGCCAAAAAACGTAGTCACACGAACAATTTGTGTAATGCCTGCAGTCGTACTATTTTTGAGGCAAAAATAACATTTGTAACAAAGTTAGCGAGTGAGAATGGGATAACAAAAGAACAGAGAAAAGATAACCAAAATCACACTAAATGATGATATCATATGGAACTTTATAGAACAAAAAAAATTTTATTATGTTTCAAATTTACCACGTCTTTTATTTGCTGTATAAATTATCATATTTATTGCGAGCTATGACGAACGTAAACTTTATGCAATTCATCATATTAATCATGATGCAATACTGTTGTACGTGTTAACTGACACAATAGCTAATAGGTGCAATTGTGTGAGACAATCTATTGCTTTTTCTTTTCTTTTTTTTGAATAAATGGAGCCAGCATTTTAACAAGGACAAATAATTGTTACCTAATGAAAAATTTGATAGGCGTTTATTGTCAAACTGTCCGATTTTTTGACGCCATGTTTCAAGTTTGCAATTAGTCCATATTTGCGAGGACAAAGACGCAAAACAATTTTGTAATTATATACAGAGACGTTTATTTGTAACAAACATTTGTCATTTTTGTTCTAACTACGTAAAATTCTTGATAAGCTGTAAAACAACCAACAGCGCCAAGTTGAACGCAATCTCAATCCACGTACGTGATACTTTGTAAATACATGACGCAATTCCTTTAAAAAGTTGTTATATCGTATGACCAAAAGTTGTTATGAATCAGCTAATATATATCAAAATCAACAACCAGAGTGTTACAACCATATGATCCAAAACAACAATACGTCATTAAACATGCCACTAGATCATACGACTAGCGCAATATCATGTTATTAGATCATACGATTTAAGCAGTAAATATTATTTAAAACAATCGAATGTACAGATTGTTAATAAGTTAATAATTGCAAGTAAGACGTTTACATTTTGTACAACATCGTATCTAATAATGTATTGCATTTGTTCTGAGACCTTCTATTCCCTATCCTGGACCTCTTCCCAGCAATGTATCTGTATGTTTATATTGCACTAACTAATTAAAAGTGTTATGGTATAATATAATACGTGTACATTGTCAATAATATACAGAATAAAGAATAATACTTTGCCATTACAAGTAAATCCCATTTCTTCAACTATTAAACAGATATTCTATAACCGGTATTACCATGTTCCAATTGTATGCTTGACATGGACTCTCGATTTCTTTGAAGCGAAATAGGAGCAGCGGGTGGAAGTTTTCACGGTTGGAGATAATATCTGTGGTGATAATGGTAAAGTTATAGCGATATAGTTATTCTTTGCTCTTGTATTTGTGATTGCATCGAGAACTAGTGCAAGAAACGCGTCAATATAAATAGCATAAGATAGCCAAGAAAAAGATTTGACATGATACGATCGTGAAAGCAAGCTTATGAATTGTACACTTATTACAAAAAATACATAGTGTATGAGCTAAAAGTACCGCTTGGGTAGTTTAAGTAGAGCAATAATCCAAAGACAAAATTTACCAACTTCCTTGACAAAGCTTTCGATTATTTATCTTCATCGTGTGAATGCGGAAGCTTCTATGCTACCGTTATATCCAGAATCTTCATTTTGGCTTTGAAAACTACTCCACAATCTCTACCAGCAAAACACATGCCATCACATCGTCTTTAATATTCTTTTCCTTAAGTATCATCATCTGGGGCCATGTTTTGTTGCTGCAATAATTGGTATTCACTTTGTGAAATAGTGTGATCAACACGTGATAGACCACTTGTTGCAAATCGAATTACATTTCTAAAAATTAATTTGCTCTGGTCAAATTTCAATGCCGTCTGGTGGTTGTATTTTTACACAAGTGATTGTAATAGTCATATCGTAAGAAGGACAAATAAAGGTAAATTTAATTTTTTGATGACTATGAGTAGTAAAAATATGCTTTAATTTTATTTATTATACCTTGTTGGAAGCTTTAAAAAGATTTGTGATAAGGAAAAAACAGGAAAATACGCATCTAACAATGTATGGTATATTGCATCTGTTGTATGCACCGACGATCGATACTTCAAGCTTTTGTCAACTATTATTGTAAATGTTTGCGTTCAACAGGTCAGGTAAATGGTTAAGCATAATTTTTTTTGTCTATATCGTAATTATATTACTTACCGCTTCTAAATTTGTTTGTCTACATATATACAATCAAGTACATATTCTTTTCCTTTCAAAACAAAAGTTGCTAAAGATTGAACTCAAAACAGACGTTCAATCACAACATAACGCAGATGGTGTTCATTTTCCCGACAAATATTCACCAACATTATTTCGAAGTAATCCTTTTCGGTAGTAAACTGTTGGTGAAATGTATACTGTCATTATCGGGTAAATGAACCGGACCCCATAACACGCGATATTTTATTTTTACGCGAGCATCTCCGAATAATCTCTCTAAAGACATGAATCTTTTTTGGTTATATACTAGTTGGTTCACTTATCTAGCAAAATAAGAATAAAATGTAAATCGTAGTCTTCCCACCGAGCAAGCGCGATAAAGAATAATTTGAAGCTGAAGATATAAACATCCTGTAGAACATTGCAATAGGGACTAAACGGCAGCGGAAGAGACGCAAATAAATTGTTGAAGAAAGTACGATTACATTCAAAATGATTATAGCAGTTTGCAATTTTAGGATCACCCAAATTTTTTGAAAACGAAAACGAAAACAACGATCAACCAATCAAATGATAAATGGATTTAAGTAATTGATCAACCATGCATTCTCGAAAGGCATACAGTTCAGCGATATTTAACGATAAATGGGTGATATTAAAACTATAATAACCAATTTTATGCTTGTACCAATACGACACTGACTGCCAACATTGCTACTGGGATGGTGCGGTAACGGCGATGGTCCTTGCATCGGTAGCAATAACAGCGAACGAACAGGAGTGTGAGCAGGGATAGGCTTTGACTCTTGCCGCACTGGTTCTGGTCGTTTTTGCTCAGTCACACTCGCTGGTTTTGGAACAACGCTTTTCTTTTCAATCTCAGCTTGATCTTGCCCAGATGGATATCGATGTTCTTGACTGTAAGCACTTGATGGTGCTGACGGCGTGGCGTTAGCATTGTAGGGGGGCAAACAATCTGGATATTTTGTAGATTGATTATGCATCTGTGATGGAGGTTGCTGGGATTGTGGGGGATGAGAAGGCAACGTTTGTGCCATAGAGGGGTGTGAATGCTGGGCTTGATGTTGAGTTTGAGAAGCCTGTGTCTGGTGTGACGGCTGTTACGATTGTGGAAGATAAGAAGTGCCGTCAGCAATTATCAAATAACATAATAATAAATACATACACTGAATAGTCAACCTTTTTCCGAGTAATTCCATAATGCTTCAACGACCGCCATAGCGTAGGTATAGACACCATCTTCCAGTACGTTGTTCCATCTCAGCAACCAACTCGTCTCTGACTTCCGATCGATTAAATCTTTAAGAATCTTCAATAAACAATTATTATCATTCTCGTACTCTTTTCCCCAGACGACACATTCTTTGCCATTTAGTCAATTGAAAGCAATATATTATCTCCATGTCATCAACATCAAAATTTTTTCTTCTTCCCCGCGGCCCGCAAAAGGATTGCTGACACATCCCCAGACTTTATAAAGTCACAAGACTCTGCCAACACTAGAGCGAGAAACGCTTAAAAGCTCTCTTCTTATTCGAGTAACCGTCGCGGTGAAGATATACTGTTCGTCAACATAAGTCTTCACTAAGATTCTTTGGCGTCTGTAGTGTAGGTTACTTAGTTAGTCGTAATAATATGTGTATTTGTCTACCTCATCGCTCAGCTCATATCGCTCATAGTCGTTTATAATCGTTCAATATTTACTAAGATTGTGCCTTAGCGTCAATGTACACAGTATTTTGCAAATTTAGTACTATGGATTATCTTAAAATAACAGCGAATCTTATTGCAACGTCGTTACGTACTAAGAAAGGAAAACAAATGGTTTGTCAAAGCCTTAGTATTAGCTTTACTCCACATATAAACCA